TCCAAAGTGGTTGCACAACTTTGCATTCCCACCAGCAATGGATGAGTGTTCCCCTTACTCCACATCCTCTCCAGCAAAGGCTATCATTAGTGTTTTTGATCTTAGCCATTCTGACAGGTGTAAGATGGTATCTCAGAGTTGTTTTGATTTGCATTTTCCTGATAGCATTTTCCTGAAGTATCTTTTGGCCATTTGAAATTCTTCTGTTGAGAATTCTCTGTTTAGTTCAGTACTCCATTTTTGAATTGATTTATTTAGAATTTTAATGTCTAACTTCTTGAGTTCTTCATATATTTTGGAGGTCAGACATTTGTCTGATGTGGGGTTGGTGAAGATCTTTTCCCATTCAGTAGGCTGCCTTTTTATCTTATTGAATGTGTCCTTTGCTTTACAGAAGCTTATCAGTTTCAGGAGGTCCCATTCATTTATTGTTGCTTTTAGTGTCTGTGCTACTGGGCTTATATTTAGGAAGTGGTCTCCTGTGCCCATGCATTGAAGGCTACTTCCCACTTTCTCCTCTATCATGTTCAGTGTGGTTGGAGTTATATTGAGTTCTTTAATCCATTTAGACTTGAGTTTTGTGCATAATGATAGATATGAACCTATTTTCATTCTTCTACATGTTGACATCCAATTATGCCAGCACCCTTTATTAAAGATGCTTTCTTTCTTCCATTGTATACTTTAGCTCCTTTATTGAAAATGAGGTGTTCATAGGTTTGTGGGTTAAAATCCGGGTCTTCTATACGATTCCATTAGTCGACTTCTCTGTTTTCTAGCCAACACACATATAGATTGCTTTTTTAAATTTTTGCTGTTGTTTTGTTTTTGTGTTTTGGTTTTTTTTTTTTTTTTGGTTTTTTTTTTGTTTTTCAGATAGAATCTCACTATATAACAGCTTTGACTGTTCTGGAACTTCCTCTGAAGACCAGACTGGACTCAAACTCTCAAAGATATGCCTGGCTCTGTCTCCTGAGAGCTGGGATTTAAAGACAAGCACCATGAGCCCCTGGCAAGATTTTTGAATTTTTTAAAAATATGCTTATGTCTTTTGCCTATGTATATACACACACAAACATACACACATACACATGTGAACCTGCTGTTACTGAAGTCAGAAGAATATATTGTCTTCTCTTGATTTGAAGTTACAAATGGTTGTAAACTTCTGAGTACTGGGGATTGATTGAGGTCCTCTGCAAAAACAACACATTATCTGTTTAACTGTTGAGCCATATGTGTGCTCTAACATTTCCCTTGCTAATGCTTTTGAGAACTTTTTGATCTACCAGTCAGTAACTTATTAAAATTTCATTCAGGAATATATTAGTCTTAAAGTTTAAACTAGGCCTCTCCTGTTTTCTGGAAGACAAGTATAGAACTGGAATGCATGTTTAAGTCTTTGGAGGAATTCTGTTTGATCCCCTAAGTGCTTTCTATTCTTGTTTGTTTGTTTGTGACAGCGTCTTACTATGTACCTCTGTCTGTCTTGGAAATCTCTACATAGACCAGGCTGGCCTCAAATCTCAGAGAGTCACCTATCTCTGCCTCCTTAGTTTGGGAATTAAAGGTTTACACCACCATGTATACCTTATTCATTCTTTTTTAAGTTAGGATTTTTGATACAATTTTGCTATTGTTTCCTCATCATCCTGTTTGAATGTTTCTCTGTATATCTGCTAATAGTCATTTCTCTTGCAATGCTATAACCTATTCAGCTGGCATAGAAACTGAGAGGTGATGTGGGAATGTCATATATCAATCTGTTGATTTCATTGGTTAAGCAATAAAGAAACTGCTTGGCCCTCACAGGTTAAAATATAGGTGGGAGGAGTAAACAGAACAGAATGCTGGGAGAAAGAAGCTGAATCAGGCAGTCACCATGATTCTCCCACTCCAGGCAGACGCAGGTTAAGATCATTCCTGGTAAGCCAGCTCATGGGCTACACAGATTAATAGAAATGGGTTAGATCGATATGTAAGAGCTAGCCAATAAGAAAGAACCTGAAACTAATGGGCCAAGCAGTGTTTAAAAGAATACAGTTTCCGTGTAATTATTTTGGGGCATAAGCTAGCCAGGCGGCCGGGGTGCTGGGGACGCAGCCCCGCCGCTCATAATTACTACAAATGGCGCCCGACGTGATGGACTAAATCCACTTAAAAACCAGAGAAAGCTTAAAAATAAGGGAGAGAGAGTTTAACACAGATTTTTGCTGTTCGTTGGTGGCGTGCTGTAGAGAGATTTCCTGATTCGGCAACAGCAGCAGAAAAAAACGCTGTGTCATTTTAAAGCTCAGCTTCTTGGGACTGTGCAGCCAGTGCAAACTCTGGCTTTAAAGCATTTCAACAGCTTTTATGGGACTGGATGTTTGTGTTCCCACTTGGGATGGGAAGGAGAGTGCTCTGAGACGTGCTGATGGCTCAGCGCTCCCTGCCTGCACCTGGGCAGACTGCGGAATCAGGCTTAGGCAGGCGGGAGAACATGGCGGATTCCTGACAGAGATGTGTTTTCAGACTGTGCAGTGCTCTGCGTGTCAGATTTGGTTGTAACTTGGATAAAAAGAGTTTCTGTGCTGCACACTCAGTCTCAGAGTTAAACTGCTGACTGAGGCGCCAATGTGGACTTGCTATGTGCCTGGAACTGTGCTCAGCTCAGAGGCACCAAATGGATCTGAGGCAAGAGCGGCTGCTCCATGCTGAACTGTACTGACCTCAGGCAGGAACTACCGTAATTACTGTAATAACAGCACAGTTAAGGTTTAGACTGGGCAGGACACAGATGGTACCGTATTACCTGTACATGGTGCAACTTAAGTTTTTAAGAACTGCTTGCTCCTGGATACTAAAAAAAATGTTACAGATTCACAATAAAATAGATTCAGACATAAAAGACCACACTGTTGGATGAATGTACATAGGCTTGAGAGAGAGAAGAAAAAGAATATAGAGAATAAAGTTAATGGTTTAAAAAAAAAAGGTAAAGTCTTTAAAGAGACAGAGTACAGATAGTTACAGATTAAGAGAAATAAAGTAAAAATAAGCCACATAAAAATGGAAAATTCACAGAGAGTCTGGATTATGTACATTGTGTTTTCTTTAAAATTTTTGACTGTAAAGGAGCTAACTACAGACAGACATTTCATTATATGGACTGCCAAATGGAACCAGAACGGATATCATGAGGGTATTACGATTTCAAAATTTGGGTCTAAGGATATGATGCTTTGGAGCGGGTCTTCTTTTGTTTTCACAGAGGACCAGACCCTGTGGATTGCATATATCCCAATTTGGTATGATGGACCACGCCCTCCTGAAGGGTTGCTGTGAACATCTTCAGAAAATTGCTTCGCTCAACTGCCAACTGAGATGAAACTAGCACACAGGTTATACCATGAAAGACCTAATTAACGACACCCCCATTCAGCAGGAAGCAGTTTGGAGAGAAAAACCTGCGCCCATGTTCCCTAATATGGTTTATAAACATTCTTTAACATTAAAGAGGGATATGATATAGATATGAATAATTTGTATTAGTATAGATTTTGCTTTATTGATAGAGATTTAAGGTCAATTTTGTTACATGTATATGTATTTCTGATCTTGATTAAGGTATTGTGATTGTGTAGTTCATTTTTAAAATGTAATGTATAATTAGGAAATATAGGTTGTTGATGGATAATCATAAATAATAGTCAAGTTTGTAGTCATGTTACTTAGATTTTCTAGATATATAGAGATATATTTCAGATAGGCATTCTTCATATCTCTCAAAGGCTGCAGAATATGACATTTAAAATATTTTAATAACTTAGGGTTTTTCATGACTATGAGACACGTCTGCTCCTGACAGCGCCAATCTACTTAAAGAGGAAGATGGGCATTGAAGAGGATCCTTATGGAGTTTGATAGCTATTTGGGCAAGAAACTGCTCTTGCCTGGACTATTGCATAAACTGGACACAGAGAACCCACAGAGAGAGGACTGATGAACTTGCCTAAAGGTGAGATGGTCTTTCGGGGTTCCTGATTCTTGAAAGCATCTGCGAGACATTCTGCAGGACACAGCAGAAAGTGACTGAACTGTCTTTGGAATTTCCTGCTTGATGAAAATGTCTGCTGGATACTATGGGCCTGAAGGCTGAAGATGGATGCCCCAACGGTACAAAAGAACTTTGGGTGACTGTCCAGACAGCGAGATGTCTCTGTCATTTGTAGAGTTTTCTTATTTCTTGTTTACTTAGGTAGTATTATATCCTTCTGGAGTCTTTGAGGGAGTTGAAGAATGAATAGATAGTTATAGCTTTCCTTAGTTATGATAAATGATAAAATAGATATAAATATTGTAACTGTAATTCTTGCTTGATAACTGTTTTGTTATATGTAATTTTGCTATGTTAAAGTTAAGCCTTTCCTTTTTTGTTTAAACAGAAAAAGGGGAAGTGATGTGGGAATGTCATATATCAATCTATTGATTTCATTGGTTAAGCAATAAAGAAACTGCTTGGCCCTCACAGGTTAAAATATAGGTGGGAGGAGTAAACAGAACAGAATGCTGGGAGAAAGAAGCTGAGTCAGGCAGTCACCATGATTCTCCCACTCCAGGCAGAAGCAGGTTAAGATCATTCCTGGTAAGCCAGCTCGTGGGCTACACAGATTAATAGAAATGGGTTAGATCGATATGTAAGAGCTAGCCAATAAGAAAGAACCTGAAACTAATGGGCCAAGCAGTGTTTAAAAGAATACAGTTTCCGTGTAATTTTTTCGGGGCATAAGCTAGCCAGGCGGCCGGGGTGCTGGGGACGCAGCCCCGCCGCTCATAATTACTACAGAGAGGCATGATCTTCCTTTTATATTTCCTTCTAAAACATCTTCATAACTACATTTGAAATTCTGTGACATGAAATAAGTGTATGGATCATACAGAATCATGTAAATATATTCTCAATTTGCAATGCAGTCAGTCTCACCATTTCTATTATGTATATATTTGGGATACTTTAGGATGCAGTGACCTATGAGGATGTGCATGTGAACTTCACTCATGAAGAGTGGACTTTGCTGTATCCTTCCCAGAAGAGTCTCTACAAAGATGTGATGCTGGAAACCTACTGGAACCTCACTGCTGTAGGTAAGACTGCTGGGTTTTTGTAACTTTTTAACAATAAGTGGACAAGCATTTCTTGATTGTTGATGCTTTCCTGGGATTGAAGGAAGTATGTGATGAATAAATTAGGCATGGTTCTCAGGTTCAACAAAGATAGTGACTTAAATTTTGTAGTTTGCTGTAGTTTTATCATACATTTTCCGGTACTGTGTTTTAGGCTACAAATGGGAAAACCAGAATATTGAAGAATATTGTCAAAGTTCTAGAAGACATGAAAGGTAATTTTCATATGCAAACTGATATATATGTACCTCTGAAGAAATCTCTGTTTTCCCTGAAACTTTAAGGCAAGACAACACTAAATAAGCCCAGCTTTATGATGATTATGAAATTCTCACAAACCAGTGTACCTCAGTGTCAGGTAGGTGATCTATTTCCAAGGCATTCCTCTAAGAAAGAAGACAATGAAAAAAAAACGTTAACACATGACACTTTTAATTATATTAATTATAGCCCCATAAGATCCATTTTGTAGAACTGTTTATTCTTTTTGTTTCATACCATGTAAGTATCATATAGGAACCCCTTAATTAGGGGGATCAGTATCTGTCCAAGACCTTTTTTTATTAAGATTTATTTATTTACTATGTATACAGTGTTCTGCCTAAATGTTCCCTGCAGGCCAAGAGAAGGCACCAGATCTTATTACAGATGGTTGTGAGCTACCGTGTGGTTGCTGGGAAGTGAATTCAGGACCTCTGGAAGAGCAGCCAGTGCTCTTAACCTCTGAGCCATCTCTTCAGCCCTGTCCAAGACCTTTTATATGTATATATTCCATAGTAAAGCTAGTGTTGCCCATATACTTACAGAGACTTACCATAGTTTATTGAGAGGAACAGTTGATGAGCATCAAGAAGGTTGTCATGGGGGAAAAACCTTAGTCCCTATACCACATCTCTCTATGAGGAACAAAAACTTAGATTGTGTGAATGCAATATGAAAGCCTTTTGTTTGTTGTTCTATAGATACCTGAAAATAAGAGATATGAAAAGAAGCAGTGTAACCAACAGTTAGATATGTAGTAGTCCCCACTATGAGTAGATTTGGTGAATGTGGTACAAATTTACAATTCATTCGTTTTCCACCTACACTGGAAGTACATCAACAAACTCACACACTGTAAAAAAAAAAAAATACCCTTATGAGTACAAGGAAGGTGAGAATTCTTCTGTCTACACTGGTTCACTCGCACATGTAGTATGACTCACAGTATAGAAAAATGTTATGCATGTAGCCAGTGTGGTAAAATTCTTTGTTCTTCCAGTTCTGTTCTGAAAAAGCTCATATGGTAAAAGGAAGTGATAAATATGAACTATCTACTAAAGTCTTTAACCTTCACAGGTATCTTCAAATACACAAACGAACCCATAATGAAGAAGATCTCTGTGAATATAATCAGCATGATAAAGACTTTAGATCTGATTCCTCTTTACAGTTACACCTGAGAACCCATGTGGAAGTAGAGCCCTATAAATACAATCAATGTGGAAAAGACTTTGCATATTTCACTAGTCTTCAATATCTTGAAAACATTCATACTGGAGAGAAACCCTATGAATGTGATCAATGTGGTAAAGCCTTTATACATTTCAGTCGTCTTCAAAACCATTACAAAATCCATACTGGACAGAAACCCTATGAATGCCATCAATGTGGTAAAGCCTTTGGAAGTCGCAATTATCTTAAAGTACATGGAAGAATTCATACTGGAGAGAAACCCTATGTATGTAATTGGTGTGGTAAAGCTTTTATGTATTTAAGCAGTCACCGACATCATGAAAAATCTCATGCTGGGGAGAAACCCCATGTATGTAATCAATGTGGTAAAGCCTTTGTATATCGCGGTGATCTTAAAATACATGAAAAAATTCATACTGGAGAGAAACCCTATGTATGTAATCAGTGTGGTAAAGCCTTTAGACGTTTCATTCATCTTCAAAGCCATTTCAGAAACCATACTGGAGAGAAACCCTATGAATGCCATCAATGTGGTAAAGCCTTTGCAAGTCGCCAATATCTTAAAGTACATGGAAGAATTCATACTGGAGAGAAACCCTATGTATGTAATTGGTGTGGTAAAGCTTTTATGTTTTTAAATAGTCACCGAAGTCATGAAATATCTCATACTGGGGAGAAACCCCATGTATGTAATCAATGTGGTAAAGCCTTTGCATGTCACAGTGATCTTAAAACACATGAAAAAATTCATACTGGAGAGAAGCCCTATGTATGTAATCAGTGTGGTAAAGCCTTTATAAGTCGCCGTAAGCTTCAAATACATGAAAATACTCATACAGGAGTGAAACCTTTTGGATGTAACCAGTGTGGTAAAGCCTTTGCACAATTCATTCATCTTCAAAACCATTTCAGACACCATACTGGAGAGAAACCCTATAACTGCAGTCAGTGTGGTAAAGCCTTTGCAAATCGCGGTTCTCTTAAAACACATGAAAGGATTCATACTGGAGACCAACCCTATAAATGTGATCAATGTGGTAAAGCCTTTCCACATTTCAGTCGTCTCCAAAATCATTATAAAGTCCACACTGGAGAGAAACCCTATAAATGCAGTCAATGTGATAAGCCCTTTGCAAGTCACCATTATCTTAAAATACATGAAAGAATTCATACTGGAGAAAAGCCCTATATGTGTGATCAGTGTGATAAAGCCTTTGCACATTCCAGTAGTCTTCGACTTCATGTAAAAAGTCATACTGGAGAGAAGTGCCATGAATGTAATCAATGTGGTGAAGCCTTTATAAGTCACCGTAGTCTTCAAATACACCGAAGAACTCATGCAGCAGTGAAACCTTACAAATGTGATCAATGTGGTAAAGGCTTTACAAGACACAAAAACCTTCAAAATCATGAAAGGCGTCATACTGAAGAAAAACACTGTATATAATTGCTGCACGACACTTTGAAGGTCAATGTAATCTTCAAACATATCAAAGAAGTAATAGTAAAAAGAAATCCTACAAATGTGAATGTGATAATACATCTATATGTTACAGTGTTCTTCACAGTATTAAGAATTACTCCTGAAGAAAAACACTGTGAATCTAGTAAATTCAGTAAAGCTTTGCATACCACATACATTGTTTCCACTGAGCAGTCTCACTGGTGCTCAGATAGAATTAGTAGAACCATTCCATCAGTCAGATATTGGGTTTTTTTTCAAATTATAAATAAATTGTCATCGGTGGATAGAGGAGCACAGAATAATCCGAATAATAAAACCTATTTGCAAATGAAAATGGTATTTATCCTACCATCCATTCTTTTGAATTCTGTTTATTCTAAACACTAAATGTTGTAGGAGGCTGCTTGTTCATTTCCCGGCAACCCAGACTCCTAAAATAAGCTCACAGAAACTGTATTCATTAAATCACTGCTTGGCCCATTAGCTCCAGCTTCTTATTAGCTAGCTCTTACATATTAATTTAACCCATTTCTATTCATCTGTGCTTACCAGCAAAGTTCTGTCAGGCGGGGGCTACATGACTTCTCTCTGACTCCACCTCCTTTCTCCCAGCATTCAGTTTAGTTTTCCGGATCTAGCTCTGCTCTACCCTATCACAGGCCCAAAACAGCTTCTTTATTAACCAATGGCATTTACAGCATACAGAAGGGAATCCACAGCACCTCCCCTTTTCTGTTTAAATAAAAAGGAAGATTTTAACTTTAACATAGAAAAATTACATATAACAAAGTAGCTATCAAGCAAGGATTACAGTTAACAATATTTATATTTTATCTTTTATCATAACTAAGGAAAGCTATAATTATATATTCTTCAACTCCATCAAAGATTCCAGAAGGATATAATATTACCTAAGTAAATAGGAAGTACATTGTAAGCATCTTCCAAAACTCTAGAATTGACAGAGACATCTCACTGCTTGGATAGTCACCCGAGAGAATGTTGAGTGTCTTTGGTAAGACACTCCACTTGGAGCTTGTTTTCTTCTTGGCAAAACTGGCCTTTGTGCAGGGAACTGCTCATGCATCGGCCTCTGACAACATGCACAATGTCCGGACAGGACAAGCAGGATACAAGAAAAAAAAACTGTCAAACCTTGACAAGACAAGGTAAAACGGTTTTGAAAAAATTCCTGCCTCTGAAAATGATCTGTCAGTTACTGTAGGGCTTAGCCAAAGTTGGTTGCTCCAGTGTTGCAAATGAGACTTTGGGTGATTGCCCAGGTAGCCAGTTGTCTCTGTCATTTGTTGCACATTTTGGGAGTTGCTTGATTGCACTTCCTACTTACTCAAGTAATATTATTTCCCTTCTTGGGTTTGGATGGGGTTGAAGACTAGATAGTTGTAGTTACTTTCCTCTCATGACTTGGCCAAGTTATTTATAATATAAGGCTTAAACTCCTTAGGATAGGATAATTATTGAAACATCACGTTTCTTGCTTGATATTAGTTTTAGTGGTTGTAATTCTAATTTTTATACCTGATATTTGTTCTGTTTGTATTAGGCTTAGAACTCTCTTATTTAAACTAAAGGGGAGGTACAGTAGGAAATCCTACAGCCTTTAAGTTACCCGCCCGGTTGGGCATGGCCTCTCATAAATGCCTGTGGAAAGTGTGCCTTCTCTCGCTCTTCCTGCTGCTGGATTCAGTTCCCGTTCCCTGTTCATGCAGAGGACTGTGATCTGTGAGTCTATCCTAAATAAATAACCCTTTGTTATACTCAATTCTGAGCCAGAGTGGGATTTCTTTTTAGTGTCCATCTTCAACTAAAGGCTTGTTCCTAATACCTTCTCAGAAACACAAATGGCAGAGAATTGTCTCAGTGGGTAAATGTGGCAGAGAATTGTCTCAGTGGGTAAATGTGGCAGAGAATTGTCTCAGTGGGTAAAGGTCATTGCAGCTAAACCTGATGACCTGAGTTCAGTCTCTGGGATATATACTTCACGCATGCCAGTGTTTCTGATTCATGTTAAGGGAATGTGTTACAGCTGTAGAGTTGCGGAAGATATCCTGACTTATCGGGAAGCCAGGCTATAGTACAGGTCTGGAACCTGGAACTGCAATAGGACAGACAGCTGAGGCTGGGGTGCAGTGGGGGATGGTCTCCCCACAGGATATAGCAGTCCTGCTCTTCTGGAGAGTCACTACAGCTAAGCTCTGCTCTTTGTTTCCTGAAGGGAACATCCTAGCAGAGGTATCTGCTTCTTTTCCAGTCCAAGATGTTTCTCTTTTTTGCTATAGGAGAAGCCCCAGCAGAAATGTAGCAATCTCCTCAGGCTCCAGTGAAAAGTTTCTTTTTTCTGCTCAGCCTTGCTCAGGCCCGTTAAGGAGCATCCTAGCAAGGTTCTTCTGTTCTACTCCACCTTGCTTAACCCCCCAAGGGAGCATCTCAGCAAGGTTTTTCAGCTCATTCCCCTAAGGGACTTCCCAGCCAAGTTCTTCTACTTGGCAAATGAAGGTCATCACCCAAGACTCTTTTGAGAAACAGATTTATTTGGGAAGGAGTCCAGGAGAGTGGCTGCATCTGCCAGGGAAAGATAAACAGTGGCCTTTAACTGAACAGAAAGAGCAAAGAGGCTTATATAGGGCTTATTAGGACTGGAGTTTTCCCAGGCAGAAGAGGGATTGGTTAGTTTTGTTGGTAAGGGGCAGAGATTGCTCTGACTTCATGATCAAACTATGTTTCTTTCACTGGTCCTTTTTAGCTTTTTGACTCGAATCTTAGGACCAGGACATATTTCTTTAACTGGTTCTGATTCTAGGGACAAAGTGTTTTTTCAGATTCAGGGCACGTGTCCTGGGTTCAAGGATAAAGGTGTTTCTTTCCCCGGCCCAGTTCTCAGATCCAGGATGTGTTTCTTTCACTGGCTCTGGGTTCAGAGTCAGGGTACTCAGTGATTGGTTGGTTTCCTGCTCCTGTTGTCCCTTTTGCCCTATAATTATATACTACTGTATGTCACACACTCACATACATGAATATTTTTGTAACTGAAATAATGGCCAGTGAGGTCACTCACCTGTTTAAGACTCCCAAACTTAACTACCTCAGTTTGTTCTCTAGTACTGACATAGAAGAAGTAGAGAATACACACCTGTAAGTTGACCTCTGCCTGTCACATGCACAACATGGTACAGGTGTTTGCATACTGTTAAAAATTTCTAAAGAAATGAAATTAACAAAGCAAACAACCAAAATATTGAGAACCCAGGAAATGATTTTCCAGTTGAAATTGATACATTGTTGCATTCCATGACATGTCACTGTTCAACAACATAATGACAGTTTCTGTTTAAATCTTTTATTATTTTATGCCTGATTTAAAGATAGGTCATTTTATAAACATATCAAGTGGGCTTAGTAGTGCAGTTTGGAGACAGGCAAATGCATCTTGCTGTGTTTGAGGCTGTCATGGTCCACATAGTGAGTTCCAGGATACTCATGGTCATGTAGAGAGATCCTGTCTCAAGCAATAAGAAGGGAGGTCAAGTTCATGAAGACGAAATCTACAGAGAAAGCTGGGAACTCATGAGCTCTAGACCGACAGTTGTGCAGCCTCCAAGGGACAAACTAGGCACTCTGTATATAGGAGACAGTTGTGTAGTGTGGTGTATCTGAGGGGCCTCTGCAGAGCTTATTCTCTATGACGGGATGTCGTGTTTAGCCTTAATGCAGGGCAGAGGGGCTTGGGCCTGCCTCAACTTAATGGTCCAGGCTTTGTTGACTCCCTTTGAAAGCCCTTACCCTTTGGGAGAAGTGGATTGTTAGGGGGTGAAGAGGCAAGGGGGACAAGAGGAAGACTGGGAGGGAGAACTGTGGTTGGAATGTAAAATGAAATTTTTAAAAATAAAAGTAACTATAGCATATATCACGTGGAATTTTTTTCTAACTTAATCTGGAGTCATCTCTGCTCAACCCTTCATTATCTTCACTCACATCAAGATGTGTATGTTAAGAATGGCAATAAGCGCCAAGTGGTGGTGGCTCACACCTTTAATTCCAGCGCTCAGGAGGCAGGTGGATCTCTGTGAGTTCGAGGCCAGCCTGGTCTACAGAGCAAGTTCCAGGACAAACTCCAAAGCTACAAAGAGAAACCCTGTCTTGAAAAAGATACATGCAGAGTCCATTCACAGAGGTAAAGAAATCCATTGAATCATTCAAAGACCATGTAGCAGGGATTTTCTTCACCTCCAAGTGAGAGAAGATAGGTGTCATCTTCATCTTCAAAATGTAATGATATATTTAGGTAATGAACATTGTCTCAGCACTTCTGCTATTGGATACCCACTTTGGGTTCCTACCATCCTCATCAAGTGGCTCAGAACTACCTGTATTCCAGCTCCAGGAAATCTGATGCATTCTTGTGGCGTCCTTGAGTACCAGATATGCAAATGGTATAAAGATAAAATTTTAGATATTTTTATGTATTATAAATTTCTCAATTATAAAATAAAAGCTCAAAGAAATCCCTTTTAAAAATATGAAGTCAGATAGATGATAGATAGATAGATGATAGATAGATAGATGATAGCAAGATAGATAGATAGATAGATAGATAGATGTGGTTTAAATGTGTGAGAGGGAAAGACTACATATTATAGAAAGGGCTTTCTTTGTGTATATTTTTTATAAATTTAAATAAAAATAATTTGATTTAGGTATATTGTCAGAATATAGTCCCTAGAATGGAAACTTCTAAGTGCTTGGAAGAACACACCCAAGAATACAAGAGTCTTATGACCTCAGTTTCTTCAAAACACAAAATCTTGGATTTTTTTTTTTTTGCATGTGTGCATGCTCCTCCCAGGTGCAGAAAATAAGAGTGAGTTTACCTCAGATTACTCATTATTGCTTGCTGTTGTTATTCAATTAAATGTTTCAACTATCTTTTCTAGGCCTATATGAAAAAATGTGTTTCCATATCTGGCTTGTTCTTGTCATTGTATACAGTTTGAAGGTATGAGAAGTTTGAAGTTATACCATTGACTGCTTTTGTTGTTGTTGTTTGGCTTTTTGAGACAGGATTTCTCTGTGTAACAACACTTAAATGTCCTGGAACTAACTCTATAAACCAGGCTGGCCTCGAACTCACAATGATCTAGCTGCCTCTACCTCTCAAGTGCTGGGATTAAAGGTGTGTGCCACCACCGCCCTTCTTAACCCTTAGTGTCTTTTTTTTTTTTTTTTGATTTTTCGAGACAGGGTTTCTCCGTAGCTTTTTGGTTCTAGTGTCTTTTTTGAGGTATAGTTTTGTATTGTAGTTTATTGGTCC